CTGTCCCATTGCAGCAAGGCAGCATGGCAGTGGGCAAGTTCCTCCTCGCTGCCTGAGTCCCCCCTGGGGGTTCCTTGCCAGGCCAGGAGCAGGCTCAGCGAGGGGGACACTGCCTGCCACCATCACTGTCCCAGCTGAGCTCAACTCCCCCCACAGCCCAGCTGGAGTGGGTTGGAGCAGTTCTGGGGTTCTCCCTGCTCCTGGGGCAGCCAGAGACAATGGTAGCAGTGGACAGGGGAGGGAGGGAATGTGAGGGGAGGGGACATGCTGCTGAGCATCAAAGATAAGGGAAGAAGTGCCAAAATCAGGAGATGAGTTTAGATTTTTTACCTGATTCAGGGACTTAAAAAGTCCAAGGCCACTATGGTATGGACTTTCTGGCAAAAGCAAAGCTGGGAAAAGTGGCTACAGCCACCCCTGCAGCACCAGTCTCTATTCCTGCACTTCCCTTTACAAAATCATGGATCTACTCATGATACTAGAGTCTGAGACAAATTCTCAACCTTCCCAGGACTCAAGTAAGTCCCATCAACAGGAATGATATATACTACAACTGCACGTCTTTATGAGATCAGTAAATTATGGCTAGACTCAGGTATGCCATTTATGATTGATGCAAAACTGCAAAGGACACCATATACAGGTGTAGAGTAGATTACTGCAAGTTGATTTCTTCGCAATAGAAATCATTTCTCTTTCCCTTCACTTTTTCTCCCCTCATTTCTCCCCTCATCCCCTATTTTCTTTCCCTACAAAAAATCTCCCCGACCACAGAGCAAAATCCTGCCTTGGCTACTCCTGCCATCTAGAACTTCCTTCCAGAACTCCCTCTGCTTTTATCTCATTTTCAACATCCAACAGAAAATAGATATGTTATCCTTCCCTACACTGCTAATTTCTCTTTCATTCTGTTACTCTTTAGAACTGTGCTTAAAAAAAGAAAAACTTGTAAAGCATTCTGAGTTACATTTTACAGAAAATACACTATCAAAAGTGACACTGTTGTAGCACAGGTATCTGTAGATGCTTCTACATGTGAGATCTGATGATTCTCACAACTGAAGAATCAAGTTTCATCAGATTTTTGGACTACGGTTTGTTATAAATGTGAAACTAATGTGAATTCAAATGGTGTTATTACAAACAAGCAGAAGCCCCAATAGAAGATACAAAGATCTTTAGCTTAATTCCCTTTCATGTACCTCAGTGTATATCAGGTGCAACTACACTGAAATTAGTAAAGCCACACTAGCATAAATCTGATGTAAGAAAAAGATATATTCTAACTAACCATGAAAGCTAACTGATAAATACAATAGAGATCACAAACACCTGCAGCATCTTATAGCATAAAGGGTCTGATCATGTGTAAACTAGGAAAGACTAATGCATTTCTAAAAACATTTTTGTGATGCCATGAGTTATTCTTCAGTTTTCAAACCAAGATATTCAACTTCCTTATGAAACTCTTAATGTAAATTTATAATAAAGGAACTGAGTTGTTATTTAGATTATGATAAATAGACCCCATGCTAATGCACTTACTATTTTCTTTCTTTTTCGAATGTCTAATAGAGAAGAAAATCACGTTACTCGGACCTTGACTTTGAAGTAAGTCTGACTGAATTATTCCTACTTATTAAACCTGTTTTAATAAAATTAAAATGTGAACTGTTAGTGTTAATGTATTTTAAACCATCTGATATAGTACATATTATTAGGATAATTTAATTGGGTGCTACATAGAACAGGACAGATACTTCATTAAGATTACTTTGGTGTGAGTTGCTTGTAAAATGTTTTCAGATCAAATCTTTGCATAGTACTAATGAGTCATTGTGGCTTCTGTTCTTAAATTCCTGCACCATTTAAGATTAGTCTATTTTTCCTTTTTATAAATCTGTTAATTTTTGGTGGTGGTTAATGTTGATTTTCTTTTTGAAAAAGACCATCTCTGTTATGGTAAGAAAGTGGTAGTGTCCTAGACAACCTGCTTCATTTAGCAGTATCTCTTCCTTTGGGGTTTCTCTGGATATTGGGCTTTTAAGATTTTACAGTTGATTACTGATTCTGGTTGTGTCAAATTCTGAATGCCCAAGGGCCATCATTGGGCACCTGCTCTGTGAAATTTGGGTTTTTCTAGGATTTCTCAGTTTGGAACCCCAAATTTGAGAGGCAGGCACTTTGTAGAAGGCAGGACAGATTTGCATCGTAACTAAATCAGAGCTGTATAGTTTGAGCTTAAACTCCAGCTTGAAAGCTCATGCTATAGATCTCTACTTCAAATCATTTATGAACTTGAAATCTATCCTGCCGTCTGCCTGACTTCAGACTAACACAGCTAACTACTTCTTCATAAACATTGTAGTCATTTATGACAAAAAATAGCTTTGGCTGTTAGCTACCCCATTTTATGCAGGCACAAACACTGTGGAGGTCTTTCAGTTTCCTGTTTATTTGGGCTTGGCTCTAAGTAACTATATTCACTAGTCAAAGCAATGCAGCATACAACGTTCAGCAGAATATTAATGATTTATGGTTTTTAAGTTTTGCATAAACTGTGTGGTCATGAATGTTAATAGTTTTATATAATTCATTATGCATTTCTCCAATGAAACTGAACTCTCATATTGTTTGCATAGAGCACCAGTCAGTCAAGGCCAAATTTTGACAACCTGTGAGCGCTATACAGCAACCATAACTTTAAAAAAAGTATATGCTTTCACAGACAAACACAAGAATGGATTTTTCTTTTTATGTTGAGAGGCATATCTTGCATCAGAGTTAAGAATATGGCTTACATTTATTGCTTATGGGTTGCAAGAGCTTTATTAATACCTTTATTATCTCCTTTAGTAGATGGTATGGTTTGCTCTTGAGTTATACGTTGTGTGAAATTTGAAGCATAAAATATGAACATGACAACTAAACCAAAAAGATTTGCAGGATGAATACCTTTAACATTTAAACATCCTAAAGCACAGACTATATTGGGTGCCATAGTGCCTCCATAAAATTTAATTCAATGAAAGAGATAATTATTTTAGGCATTTTTTCAGGACCCAATCATTAATGTAGAGCAGAGTCTTTTTACTTAGAATGAGAGAGAGCCTTTGTGTCACATGAAAAAACCCAGCTCCCACAAGCTAAAGTCATTTCTGTGTAATTACAGAATTTGCTAAGAATTTACAAACAACTCTATTGTCTAGCCTGTAGTAAAATTATTTTCAATTTGGGTCCAATAAAATTGGCATTTCAGATCTTTTTTTAAATTATCTTAGTAACAGGAGAACAGAATTCCTATAAAAGCCTTATTTTAAGCATAAGACATAATTCAGCCACTTTACTAGTGGCTGTGCTTTCAAGTTGGGTGATGATTATATAGAATGTAGACAGGCCCAGGGCAACAGCCCAGATCATTAGTACCTGGAGCCATCATGGTATCTAAGGTAATTCAACTCATTGGTTAATTTTGCCCTGTGGCAGTGCCTTGAGGAGGAAAATACGAATGCCCTGAAGGGACACATATGAACAAGTACAAAAAATGTCTCTCTAAAAAATCAATTTAAATTCCGTTTTGGAAAACAACACTAGAATCATAATTGCCCTGTTATTCCATGGTGTCACTGCAGGCAAGAGTTAGGGTTATTTGACTTTTAAAATGCATTTTCAGATCTTAATTTGTTTGGATTCCTTTGAAGTTTAACATTACCTCTAAATATTTTGAGTTTGTAATGCTTGTTTTGTGGATAATTACTTTTACACACCCCAGATTGACTCTCAAATTTAACACAACTTAATACAATTTTCCTTCAGGAAATATACATACATTCACACAAAAAGGGGAAAAAAATGAAAAGAGTATCAATAAAGTTCCTGAGGAAATATATATATCTACACGTACATACAAAGGAGGAAGAAAAATATATATTAGTAACAAAGTCTAGGTGAAAAGTAATTCTGAAATTAAATAAAAGCAGTATGAACACAAAAGAAATCTGAATTACACGATTCCATTTAGAAGGTCAGGAATTCAGTGCATTTGTCTCTGAGAACATTCTCTATGGCAACAGATATTAAAGCATCCTTCCTACCAGTCAGTTCAGCACAAACAGTGACAATATTGTCCACATTCTGTTCTCTAGTGTCATCTATCCTGTTATACATTTTGAACTGACTCACAAAGTGCATGCTACACCTTTTCCTTGTGTTTGGTTAGCAGCTACTGCAATACTTATAACATTTATACACACACACACACACACATATAGATATCTGACAGTGCTTTGAGCTAGGCTGTGTACTAGGGGTGTGTGAAATGGGCCATATTTGATTCGGATTCAGCCCAAATCAGGGACAGTGATTCAATTCTTTGGTTCAGATCACTGTCCCGATTTGATTCGTCCAAATCTGAATCTGAAGATTCGATGCTGATTCGGAGAATCAGTGATTTGGCCATTCCAGCTTTAAAACAGCTTTCACAGGAGTGCAGGGGGTAGGGGCAGGGGGCCCGTGTGCTTGGCAGTGAACCCAGAAGTGGACCGAAAGTACTTCAAATCCACTTCTGGATCCACTGAGGAGCATGCGGTGGACCCCTCTTCATGCCCCTGGCTCAGCATTTGGCCGCAGGTGGATCCTAGGAGCTCCATCCACCCCAGCATCGCAGCATTCACAAGCCACCTGGTACCTTGAGGTGTGTAGAAAAAACATTTAAAGCTGTGTCTATGTCCGAATTGCCAAATTTTTCCAAATCTCTCTGAATTGCTTTGGAGGGTTCTGATTTGATTCGGATTTGGAGATTCAGCCACCGAATCAGGCTGAATCTCTGCTGGATCTAATCAGGGACCAAAGCTTCACATAGTCCTACTGTATACCCACACAAGGAGACTCATTTAATAGAATAGAATAGAATAGAATAGAATAGAATAGAATAGAATAGAATGATTTTTATTTGAATCATAATTCAATGTAGGACATCTTGAAGGTTATTTTGTTTCACACTGTAATTTGCTAATGTGACATACATGTAAAAAAGCCCATTAGCACAGCTGAGTTTCATACATGATATTTAAATGCCCTGGCAAACCGAGACCCCAGGACTGGGGGGAGGCTCCCTGATCTCAGGCCTCCAAAACCTCATGACTTTAAAAACTACATGCACAGTTTTTAATAGTCCTAGGCACTGGGATCTTAGCATAAGAGAGCCTATCCCCAATATCAAGGTCCAAGTGCCCTAAGAAGCACACATGCAGCCCCACACACATGCACACATGGGAGCTGCCAGGCATGGAGATCTGCAAGTGCTGGGCAGGATGAGTTAATTGGCTCTTTGTTCTTGGCAAATTCAAAGCTGCACCCCACAACTAGAGCTGCTGGACTCTTGACTTTGAACTTGCAGACTCACATGTGGGATAGCCTCATATACAGGTTTGCTAGGTGCGTGGCTTTGAACCTGTTGATCAGAGGGAGTCAGCTGACTCTCCCCAAATAGCACCTGCAAACCCATGCATATGACAGGCCCATGCAGGGCTGCACCATGGCTGACTTCCAGTGTTCAGGTGCATGCAGAGCCTGGGATTGCAATCCTGGGTTTCACACATGCTGGCAAGTTGAAAGGGCACCATAGGAAGGGTGGCTGTGGGGACCAATCCCCCATGCCAGGCTCTCTGAACAGCCATACATCATTGGGGTTTGGTCCCTCATCCCAATAATCACGCATCCTGTCATTAATGTGTAGCATAGCAGGACCTGTGATTGTTGGGATCCAGGATCGGATCCCATTGTACCATTAAATTAATGTGTGCCAGTGTCATTAGAATAACTATTAGGCTGCTCAGAGCTTCATTATGAGATGAATCTGATCTCTGCCCATAACCAGGATCAGAGGTAATATTATATCTTTTTTGCTATCCCTGCTCCTAGACCTTGCCTTGAGTCAGATCTTCACATTGGGCACTCTGTGTCTTGTATTTCCATGGTGAACAGTTTAACATTTGGTAGCACAGCTGGTTCTTGGAACTACCATTATAACACAGACTAGAACATAAGAGTTTTATTTTGCAGGAGGAGAATGTCACTTTCATTGCCACTCTGCTTTGATAGTTTATACAGAGCAATCCAATCTTTTTGACTTTTGAAATCTTCCTAATGACCAATCACAGGATTAACTCTACTGCAAAGGATTGATTTAAGATACCAGATGTACCTCTAACTCAATGCAGATCAATGGTTTCCCATACACAAACTAGAACTAATAGTAATAAGTACAGCTAACTGTCCCCCTAGTATGTAGAAGTACAACTAGCTCTATGTTTTAGACTCCTTAAAGCCTCCCCTCATTCTAACACTTCAGCCCTTTCTATACTGCGTTTTTCCAGTCTTTCATCAGTATTTTTCTACCATAATTTATATATACAGTCTATTTTATCACATAAAAGCAATAAGAAATGGAATATAACAAACATGGCCAGATTTTATTATGTGTAGTCTAGAATTATGTTTCTCCCTCTCTTTCCCTAAAGTTGAAATTATTACCGGCTCAACCAGAATTTATTTTTAGGACACCAGCTGCATCATACTTCTTACCTATAAGATTCAGATACTATTTATTT